TATCGAAAGAAAAACGATATAATTCAAATTCTATGAGGCTAATTTTTTGACTCTTACTCTACATCATGCATAATAATGTGTGAACTCTTTGCGAAAAATTTCAAGTGATTCTATAAGGAACTTTTAAAGCTATCATAATCGATGGGAACTCATTTTATAAAAAAGAAAAAAAATCGAAAGTCATATTTAAAGTTTTCAGATTAGTATTACATTAAGTACATACACAACTATTCTCGTTGCCAAACGAAAATGAGAAAATACATAATAAAAATGTCTTTTAGATTCTTCAGACATATTGAAATGCTGAAAATTATTTGGTTAAAATATAACATGAAAAAAGGATGAAAACTGCATCTTTAATTTGCCCTTTAAACTTTGACTTCCGGTCTGTCGTCTCTCAGAAAAAGTGGTATATCTCCACTTCTAATCAACATATCAAGAAAAGAAAAGTTGTTTTTGATAAGCTAAGAATGCGGATTTTAAAAAAGTTAAATAAAAAATTGAGATTTTTAGCTAAAATCGACATTTCGAACGAGAATCGGTTAACTTAAGGATTCGAAATATTCCGCAGATTTGCATTAAACTTAAAGTCTCCTTGAGGAGACTGTGAGTCTTCTTGAGTCCAAATTTATATTTTATTCCATTAACTGCGTAAAACAATCGCTTATCGTGATGATTATAACTTGTATAATTTTCAAAAATATCATTATAACATTTAAGTATATGAAAAACGAAATTAAACTACAGGTAAAAAAAAAAAATCAAACATTTATTCTAGACGAAACGTGAAATAAGCACAAAAGCACACAAAGGTGATATTAACATTGCACCAGAATGCTGATTATCCGAATCATCCTCCTTCCGGTTATCCGCCGTTCTTTCCCAGGAGAGGAAAAATGAGATTAGCTGCACGAAAAACAAGAGTTTTCAAATATGTTTAAATAGCTCTGATGCAAATTATAGATGGCTAAGAAATTTCAAATTATGCCATGATATACGAAAAACAGAAATGCATGGGCGAAATAGTCTCTGCACGTGTAAAAAAGGCTGTAAATACTGTAGAATGAGTTAAAGTATTATCTTCTGTGCCTAAAAAGAATTTGCAATTATAATTCGACATAAAAGAATATTTTCTTAGAACCAAAACACAATTACAGTTCTTTTATAATTATTTTTAAAATATAATTTGGTCATTCTCCAAGTTTTACAAAAATATTTGCATTTTCAACAGGTATAAGCACAAAGAATATCGTTATTGTTCAAGATTGTACATTCTCGAATAACATTTTACGATGTTCAGTTATCCGAACTGAACAATAAGTTCAAATAAGTCTCAATAAGTTCGGATAATCAGCCTTCAGCAGTTTTAAAAATGGCAAAAAATAAAAAATAAAAAAGCTTTTAAACAGAATTATATTAGTCAATTCTTAGAAAAGTAATTATACTCATATTAAAAATTACAGTTCAAAACCATCAATGAGTGTTATCTTAAATTAGCATTAATTATTTTAATTTTTCTTTGCGATCAAATCAACAAATAATATTACGTTAACGACTGGCAAATTTCAATTTTTCCTTGGCATCAGTTTCAAAGGAAAAGTTTGCATGCAGTTGTAAAGACAATAGATCACTCGCTATTTTTCAACAGGGCCGAAGTAATTTGCTTACAAAGAGTGCTCTAAGAAATGCATATAACCTTTTATTTTAAAACCAATTGCAAACAAACACTGAAATTTGCCAGCTATTGTTATTTATTTCTGTACGCAACATCTGCATCTATTAACATCATTTGCATAAATATGAAAATAATTTCAAACATTTAGTAGTATGTACATGCATAATATTTATAAAACATACGTTCATTAAAAAAATCTTATATGTGTAAAAATTCATCAAATTTTTACATTTTATATTTCATAAATGTTTGAAAGTCATTAAAGATACATTGTTTAAGCTCATATACAATTAACACATCAGCAAAAAACATAACTATAAAAAGTTTGAGCATGTTTTAGAATACTGCAGAACTATAGTGCATAATAAGTACTTTACAAAAATAGCTGAAAAAATTCAGTTTTCTGATAGAGGGGTCACCAGTTCGCTGATATCGAAAAAGAAACGTTTCTGTTTTTCAAGAAACGTTATTGATAAAATATGCACACTTATTTAATTACCGCCTCTTTTTTTTCCGAACATAATTTTATTAATTTAAGTAGCGCATATTATTAATAAAAACATTTATTTCAATGCATTGTATTTAATATAGTTTCATAATATATTACAATATTTCAGTTTTGAAAGAATTATTTTGTTAGTCTTTAATTTAGCATTAACTATAATTTATTACAATTTATTGATGTATTTTCTGTTTCGTCAAAAAGCTGAATTTATTCCAATTACAGTGCGATTAAGTTATTCAAAAGGAACGTAAATTTAATACTTATTTAAATACTATGTTTTAAAATTATTTTTGATAATTCAGAGATAATTCAGAATACTAATCATAGATTTAAAATTTTATAAGGATGTAACGTTTTAGGGATATGATACATTATGAAAATATTACTAAATGAAAATATACATTATGAAAATATTACTGCATATTGTAAAGTTTTGTAATATTATCATAATTAATCTCTGCAATTAAATCACTCTAAAAGTACAAAAAAAAGTAGTTTGAATTTTATCAAGCATATTACATTACGATATATAAAGTATATCCCTGTAAATACAAAATTTCATTCATTTTACACATATTGATGTTACCACAAATTAGAGCACATTGCATATAATTACGTTAGGATCGTTTATAATTATTTAATATCGCTAACATCACTTTTAATTATATCCATCGCTAATATTGCTTATTAATTATAAATTAATACATTAATGGTTACTCAGGGCGATATATGTCTTATACTTTATAAGAACTTAATGAAACAGTGCACAGAAGTGATTTTTGTACTGGCGTAGCCCGAATATGGTCATAGCGCAAACTTTGTTTTGCAAGGTGAACCAGGCTCCGCCCTAACAAAACAAAACAGTGCACAGAACGGTTCTGATTTCTAAACAGTGCAAAATATTCTGATTGTACTATTTAATATTTAGTTGAAAGCATATTAGTTACTCCTTGGATTTTAAAAATGTAATTTTTTTAAATTAAAGTATTGATCATGAGTAACGTAACTTCATGCAGATTTAAAAATAATATCCTTTTTGAAATTTTAATAAATATTTTACATGATAGCCAAAATATAAAACCCTGGTTAAACGCTACGATATATACAAAAAATATCGGGCTTAGAGTTTTAGAGATATGACACTAAAAAAACAAAAGTTAAAATTACATAAAGGAATTAACTTCTTGTTTTTATTTTTTACGCTTCAAATAATAACATTATTAATTATTTTTTAAAAATTTAAATTTTTTTTTTTTTTTTTTTTTTTTTTTTTCTTTTTTTTTTTTTTTTTCAAAGTTTAATTTACTGAATTAATTTTTCTGAAAAATTAATTTTTTAAAAATTCAATTTTTTTTAAGTTTAATTTAATATTTGACTTTACATTGCTTATTTCTCAAAAGGATTCATTGGTATTTTCCTTTCAGAACTTTGATTTTTAATTGCTAATTTCTAAAGGTACCACTTTATTGGTATTTCTTTTTGGACATTCTTCACTATTTACTTTTGGTTTTGACTTTTACCCTTGCTTGCATGAATGACGAAACACGAATTGAATGATTGGAGAGTTAGGTTTGGGGTCAACTTCCCCTTGATAAGTCTGTCTCCTGCCTGCTCAACAGTCATTCACTTATGCATTAAAAAAAATAAATAAATTTAGATTAATTTTAATTTGCTAAATTGGTGAATTTATTTTCATGGTTTGGTTTTGCACTTGATTTACTTATGCTATCTGAATTTAAATGATATTGTAGATTAGTTCGAAAGTTAAATCTTTTATATGTTTGCACATTTTTAAATTTTAACTTTAAATTTGCTTTTTTACGTATATACATGTTTCTTTAAATTTAAATTTGTTTAAATTTAAATTTCATTCCTTGCAGCAATGGCGCAAAGATTAATTAATTAAATTTGTATTTAAATTAAATTTATTTAAATTTAATTATTCTTATGAAACAACATTAAAAACTAGATGTAAATAGTAAAAAATACTACTATCTGCATTTGTAAAATAGGTCTATTTTCTCAATGAGTGTTTAAATTAAATCTGAAAATTTTTAATAAGTAAAATTTAATCTCTGTATTTAAAATTATTTTAGAAAATATCTCTCTTTACGTCTTCTTGCGTCAGCGAAGACAAAAAAATTATGTAATATATAAAAATATACTTTTTATGTACACGTATTCAAAATAAAATTATCAAAATTCACACCAATAATACGGATGAACGTATACCACTGTATACTACAAAAGATTCTATATCAGTATACATTACATGTCATGGAAATAAATTCAGTGTACCAGAAAATATAGCTTCTGTTATAATGATTATTATATGTCATAAGGTATTCTTTCACATTATTTTAGTAACAATGACAAATATCAGAGGCAATGTAATTTACCTTCAATAAACCGTCTTTCAGTGTTTCAGCTTATACTATAGAAGAAAATATAAATATTCCAGCAAAATGAATATTTGGTGACCCCTATGTGAACTACATCGATTAATAACAGGTAATCAACAATAAAGCTGCCCAGAATTGCAAAAAACGGATAGCAGTCATCTATGACACCATCAACAAATAACCAATAATAAAGGTTTTGTAATCGCCATCCTTACATGCTGACGGCTATCACCATTACAACACTTTGGAAACAAAATGTACCCTGAAATGTCCATTTTAAAGTTGGCAGGAAAATGGTCCCTGTTATTATTTACAACAAAAAAATTACTAATAATAATCCATCACAAATTCGTTTTTTGATCACTGGTGTGTCTGGGACATTTTCCGCTGACTGTGTGTTTTT